CCCCCCCCCCCCCCCCACCCTTCCAAATCAAACCCCAGGGCTAGTGGTTAGGCTACCAGACACGTAATCGTGAGGCTGCGGGTTCGGGGGTTCGAGCAGGGCCTTTGGGAAAGGCACTTTGACTGTGCCACGAACTTTCCTCACTTCATTAAGGTGGGAATGGGTACCCGGCCATATACAGTGAAAGATCTTCTCTGTATGTTAGTGTTTTAGCGCCCATAAATGGAAGCTTGCACTGTAGGTTTCACAGAAAGTTGAGTTTGTTTCAGAATGCTCTCAGGTGTACTGGGGTAATAGTATGGATTGTAAAGCGCATAGAGCTTGCTGTTGAGCGGGGATTTGTGCTATGCATAATAATATGCATTCTATTATTAGTTGTATGTTATTACTTGTATAGTATAGAAACATTTTCATAACTTGACCATTACTGATTACTTTCTAACTTTGGATGAAAAGTGACACATTAAAAGGTTCAACACGCTACTCTGATTCATTAGAGCGAAGTTGTAAACTAAACTACAGGCTATGCTGTAAAACTCCTGAATTTTGTTACATTGACATAAACAATTCACTTTTTCATAGTGCAAACACCTTACGTGATAGGCAAAAACTAATGCAATTTCTGGAATCAGCCTCCCCAAATTAGCTTAAAACAAATCTTAAAGACCACCTGATGCCGCAAACTGTGTGTTGACCAGTGTATAAGACTTTTTCGTTTTGCAAGTGCTGTAAAACACTTACTAAAACTAAATACACACACACAAACACAAACGCACACACACTCACACATACACACACACACATTGGCAAGCACACACACAAACACACACACACACACACACACACACACACACACACACACACACACACACACACGCAAACACACACACACACTCACACAAACACACACAAACACACACATACTCGCAAACACAAATTAACACACACTCACATCTGCACTGCGTACATCACTGGCAGTCTCCAATACGATGGGAACGCAAAGAATATTGTTGAAAGTGCTGTAAAACTCTTACCAAAACGAAAAAGAAAATGCTCCATTAAGGAACATCTTTCTGTCCAGCTCCATAACAGAGGGTAACTTTCAGCGCGACAAGAAACGACGTATTATTCGACAAGCATACTAATATCAAATCGTCAACAGAACCAACAATACTGGCGTCTATGGTGTAGTGGTTAGATGCTTTGCTGTTGCACAAAGGAAAACCGAGTTCGAGTCCCAAGTGGAGAAGATTTCTATCGAGTACCTCGGTCTTTCTGCTGAGATGTTGTGTCCCTCTCAGGCCCTGCTGGCCCTGACAGGTAGTGTCGGAAACTTTGCCTCCTTAATGATCCAAACTGCGTTGATAGAGGTGTAAAAATACCCTCCTCCTAGGCCCACATACTCCCCCCCCCTCCCCCTCAAAAAATATTTAGAATAATAATAAAATAATTAACAAATCCAAACATAAGAGCAAACACTTTTTGATGAGACAATAGGTGAAGCAGCGTGGTGAGATCAGGCGCTCGTCAAAAAAACGAAATCGGAGAATGAGGCATTTTCCCCGCCAATTTGGAAATTTTGGGGGGAATATTTTTTTTTGGCTTAACCTCTTTTATGTTCATAGTAAACACATTTCCATATGAATTTTACGGGGGAAAAACATTGATTTAAAGGCACAAAACGTGTAATTTTTCATTTTTCAAAGACTCTTTAGCTATTGGAGTTACCAAACTTTGGAGGCCAATTCCTCTCTAATTCCACAACTGAAACCAGGGGACCTGACTAACTTCAATTGCAGATATCTTGACTTCTATTCAAGATAAATGGATATATATTTCAATGGAAGCAAGGCAAACAAATCAGCTTCTAGATGATACCAATAATTTCACCTTCCCAAAAATTGACAAGCGTCTGATTCCACCGCGTCCTGCCACATAGGGCTATTGAACATACTTACATGCATTGACACAAATGCCCCAAAGGGCGAGTAGTATAAAGAATCTTGCTAAAGCCATGACTGCCTGAGAAACGGAAACCAACAGAACTCCAAGACTGAACTGTAGAACTGACTGTTACAGTAAATGTGCGTGCGTGTGTGTGTGTGTGTGTGTGTATCTCGCCGGAACCGCGCAGGCTGTCCACATGACTGACTACGTCACCACGATCTAGAAATAGAATATTGCGACACCGGGATTTTTTGTGGGGGTTTTTTTTTTTGGGGGGGGGTGCATGTGTGACCCGCACGTCAACATTCGATCAGTCTTCCACTGAGCTCTGACAGACGACATTCTAATGCCAACTTGAACGGAATCTCGATACG